GCCCTCGGCGGCGGTGGGGCCAGAGGGGCGCTGCCATCTGCCGAGGCCGCCGGGCCTCGCTGGGGTCCTGGATCTCCCCCGCGTGCGCCCTGGTTGCAGCGCGCCAGCCGAGGACCCCCCCCAAAACCTCTCCCTGCGCCTGCGGCCCCTGGGGTGGGGCGCGGCTGGGAGAGCTGCGGGCTTGGCGGCGGCTCAGTGACCACCAGGGACCACTGTGTGCACCCATCACCTCACCTTCCCGGCGCACCTGGGGGCACAGAGGATATTCCTTGTCAGAAATCAAAGGGGGGGGCAGGTGTTTGCCTAGGAGGTGTTTCCCAGGGTGGGTAGGGAAACAAAAGAAAGAGAAGCGTGTATTCACCCTCCACACACACCCGGTGCCAGCCAGGGCTTTGGCAGACCGTGGCGCATTTCCCCTCCCATCTGCAGCCCCGTGGATGCCACTACGCCCATCTTTCAGAGACGGGAAACGGGTCTTACCTTTTGGGACTGGAGTCTAGACCTGGGGCAGGGCTTCCTGAGCCCCCTCCTAATTCAGGGCAGTGGGCAGGCGGGGCCCCCCGGGAGGCTCCAGCGGCGTCTCCGGAGCAGGAGATCAGAGGCAGCCAGGGGCTCTGGCAACAGCTGGCCTGGCCCCTGCCTTTGTAGTCCGCCTGCCCGGCCTGCAGGGCTCCTTTGGCCCGGAGCAAGGAGTGATGAGCTGAGATTAGAAAGTTACAACCCATCCTGCACACACCCAGCAGGCAGGGCCCTTGGGCATCTCAGAGCCTGAGTTGCTGTGATGCAAATCTCGGAGCCTGAGATCCAGCTGAGGTGCCCTGGAGGTCAGCCCCGGCTGGGGTTCGCCGCAGGCCGGGGCGGGCAGGTCCTCTCCACGGGCGCTCTTGGGGCAGCTGTGTGCCCATTTTCCTGATGAGGGGAACTGAGGTTCAGAGAAGCTAACGGACGTGCTGAGACTGAGCTCTGTTTGTTCGGAAACCCTCACTTGCCTCCCCCTTGTTCTGGGCTCAGCTTAGTTATTTATATTCATTTATTTTTATTTGTGCCCCACTTATTTATGCCTTCATTAGTTAGTTCTTGTATGTGCCCTGACCGGGGATCGAACCCACAACCTTGGCCTATCTGGACGCTTGCTGCTCTCCTGGGTCAGTTGAAACGCCGTGCTTGGGACTGACTGGAGGCAGGAGCTTCAAACACAGGCCCCATCTGGGGGCGGTCTCCCCACCCCTGCGGACCCAGGCATTGGGGCGAACCTGCCCGAGAGCCCTCCAGCTCTAGAAGCCTGTGAGTCCAAGTCGCCGGCAGGGAAATGCTGCTCCGGGCTGGATGGCCTGCCCGCGGAGGGGCCGCGCCGGGCACCCACCTGGCTCTGAGCCGCTCCCCGGCCCGGAGGCGCCGCCGGGTGAGGCCCGTGACCTCTCTGTGGGCCTCCACTTCCTCTTCTTTAAAGCGGGGCGGTGACCGTCCCCCATCTGAGGGCTGCGGTGGGATTACGGGAGCCCAAGCGTGAAAGTGCCCGCACGGCGCGGCAGGACAGCCGCTGTGGCTGCCGGCGGGACTCCGGGACCGGGGAGAGCATGCATATTATACTCCCTGGCGCCTGCCGCGATGCGATTGAGCCTGCACGTTGGACCCAGATGGGTTCCTGTTTGGGTTTATGCGAGACTACCAGCAGGAGCGGGGAGGCGCTCAGG